AGATGTGGTGTTCGTCTTCGGCTTCAAAACTCAGTTTGGCGGTGGTAAGACAACAGGGTTTGGCATGATCTACGACTCGTTGGACTACGCCAAGAAGAATGAGCCCAAATACAGGCTGCAAAGGGTACGCCACTCGTGATGCTTGATCGCATGATTAATAGAATTAAAATCAAAAGGCTGTGATTTCAGTATGCACTGCAAGTTTCAGAGTGAAGTGTGGTATCGATCAGATATGCCGAAGTTTAGTTTAATATTTAAGAATAAAGAAATTAAGATGGCCATAAATATTATTGTATTTTTACAGTTGGACTGCAAAATATTTTCTTAAACCCTTTAGTTAATTTACAAAAGTAATATTTCTTTTATTTTGTAGTAATAGTCATTTTTCGATAATCACAAAATGTTTGGTGAAATTGTGCTGCTTTGCAAACAAGCAAAACCTGCAGCAATTTTTATTTTTAATGGCAATCTCGTTTCTTTTTTTTAATCAAGAGTCCTTTTTGTTAACTCTTGCTGTTTTAAAAATATGAAAATTGTTAACTCACCCTTGTGTTCAAAACTGCTTTTGTTTCCTATATATATGGAGAGAAAGATAGTTTTGGAGTGGCATGAGTAAATGACAGCTTTTATAAGTGAAAATTAATGTTGTATTCATTACATTTACATGTTTTATAAAGCTCTCTTTTGTTTTCCTCAGCATGGCCTTTATGAGAAGAAAAAGACATCTAGAAAACAGCGCAAGGAACGCAAGAACAGAATGAAGAAAGTTAGAGGCACCAAGAAAGCTTCTGTTGGTGCTTCTGGCAAGAAGGTAATGTTAATTTTTTTTGTTTTTACCATAACCCCACCGCCACCATGGGCCACTTAATCCACAACGTTGACGTCAGCAAACCACTCACCCACACGATGCCATACACGCTATCTGCCATCTGCCCTGTACAGTGAAAACCTGAATTCATCCTTGAAGAGAACACCTCTCAAAAGTGCCAGACGCCATCGAATGTGAGCATTTGCCCACTCAAGTCGGTTACGATGACGAACTGCAGTCAGGTCGAGACCCCGATGAGGACGACGAGCATGCAGATGAGCTTCCCTGA